ACGCTGTGACGTTTTTTTTTGTGTACAAAGCTGGCAAATTCCAAATTAAAGATCAAAGCAGTCTAAAGACAGCCCAGTGTTGCCATTTGAACCACTGACTCTACTAATTATCTGTCTTTTAATTGCGGCTTACGCCTTGCGGGGCTAGCGGTCAGTTTGAGGTATTACGAATTATTTTTCGCCGTAATGTAAATAAGAAATTACTATTGGCCGTGAAGATAAAATGATGACTCTTACAGAAATTTTAGTTCTTTAAAATCCTGCAATACGGCATTGTTGGAATCATTAATTTCACAGTCTTAATGCGATAACTTGTTGTCTTTAAAATGTAGCCGCTCATATTGTCTTTTCACAGAAATAAGCTCTTTAAAATTCTGCAATATGACAATGGTCTCAAATTAATGTCACAGGCGTAACTTATTAACAGGCATATCGATTTTATTGCATATCATGATGTTATTACAAACATGATTTTTTTTGTAAGTAACTACTAGTTTGCTATAATTATTAATACAAAGATCGAACACAGAAAAATTCCTTCGACAGGAATTGAACAAGCGTCTGTGCCAAATCCAGGCCATGTCAGTCAAGAGTAAGTCACTCTTAACACTTTGGATTTTAGACCGTTCTTGTCGCAATCATGGTTTTATATGGCAAGTTTAAAGAAATCAACAATCTTACACAAGGAAATGTAATTTATATTTAGAAGAATAGTATTCTTTTTCACGAAAAAACTCGCCATGGACATAACATTAATACGAGAAATAAAAATTAACTTGCTGTTGTTGATAGTCGTCTTCATATGTCCCAAAATCATTTAAGGGCAAGGTACACGCTTCTCTAATAAGATTCCGGTTGATATTCAAAATTTGGCATTCACGATGTTTCAAACTATAGTGAAACAAATAGGATTATTATACAGCTTCTGCGTACTTCAATGACAAAAATCTGTTATAGTGACTCGTTTAGTTCTTGCAAGTAGTCTCGATCTACGACATTTGAATTAAATATTGTAAATGTAAAATCTGTAGAAATGTATATTTACAAAGAGCAACCCCTAGAGTCTTTTGCTCATTCTTCTCAGGGGAATCTGCTTTACGAATGAGCACTAGAGTATAATCAATATGACTATTTCAACTATAATTTGCTTTATTACATATGTAATAAAGATTATTTGACTTTGAACAAACTACAAAAAAATAATATTCACAATCTTACTCGATGGAATCCGGAGGCGCGAAATTAGATTTCTTGGAGAAATAAATTGTCCACTGAAAAAAACTTGTAAGTCACGAAAAATCTTTCTGGCAATTGTGGTTAAAATGCTTTATGGAGTAAACAAAGTAATTTTCTTTTTTATGAAACAAATAAAATGTCACATAACATGGAACTGTTAAGGGCGTGACAACTGACAACGCATCACTGGCTCAGGTGCAAAAGGCCTTATTTCACTTTCAATTTCATTTCTTTTTGACCTATTCTGTAACTGTACAATGGGGTAATGCTCCTAACAGTTTTGTAGTTCTACAGCTATATTACGGCCATTTAATTTGTAAGTACTTAATTTATTGTATCTGTATGTGTGTGTGTGTGTGTGTGTGTGTGTGTGTGTGTGTGTATGTGTACGTGTGTGGTACTTTTATATCATATCTTGAATAAATGACAATTTAAACATGCTTACTGGACTTATTGTATTATAATTTATTATTCATTTATGTATTAAGAGCGGAAATAAGAAATTACGCATGAGACACTATTAGAAGCCCAAAGGCGAACAAAGTTTTTCATCACGCTTGCACCTAAATAGTACACGCAGGTACAAGTAGTAGTACACGTAGTACCTATTACATGCAGGGCTACTTGAATATAATATCCCAAATAAAACGCTTGGGCCTTTTTCTTCCTATTACCGAACACGGCTGTAATGAGAAGAAAAAAGCTCTCATTAATGAAACGTATTAATAATAAGTACAGAGCCGTATACCTATCATTTCAAGTGTATTGTTTTTCTAGAATGTACGTTGGTTCAAATAAAGGTGCGTGGGAGGTTGCCAAGATGGCCACTTAAGCTACGAAAAGGGGAGACTGGAAAATGCTTTTTATTTCTACGTATTTCTCGATTACCGTTGGTGATATTATACAGTACTGTTGTATATTACATTTGCTATAATACCGTCTCAGAGAATAGTTCAAAGCTCACATTAAAATGTGAAAAAAAACTATTAAGGAAAGATTATTCTAAATTCAATGATTAAGTATATCGTGCCCTTCGTAGCAGCAGGGCTCCTTGTGAAAAAGTTCGTCTAGGGAAGTACTGCCACTTTATTTCTTTCTACCGCCAAGCAGTAATGTGAGCTTTACTGCATTCCGGTTATGAAGGGCTTGTGAAATTACAAGCACATGGCACTTGTCAACTTAAGTCTCAGTGGTATAAAGCTCTAAGTGGTACTTGCAACTGTTATATCAGTCAATAGTGCTTTCATCACATGAAAGTCAAACGACCTACATGAAACAAATTATGTACCTATATATGAAATTATACAATTAAGTGTCTTATTTAAACGTAATAAAAGATACCGACTTATTTCGTTCGTAGAATCCTGTAAACCTCTGTCTTGAAAAGTTGTAATTTTGCAGACATAATAAAAATAATAATGATTTTCTCAAACTCAAATAAAAATCTTACGTTAAATAGACCCGAGCTTAAATATAAGAGCAATTTGTGAGAGACTGGAGTCCGTCCCTCATACATCAACTCATACATTATATTGAATTTTTAGTGTCGAATGTGTGTATGCGAAGTGTGTGTGTATGTGTGTTTGTGTGTCTCTCTCTCTCTCTCTCTCTGTGTGTGTGTGTGTGTGTGTGTGTGTGTGTGGCCCGAAGCCGAAGACTGAGGGCTTTAATAACTCGAGTTTTGCATTTTTTACCGTCCCTGACACATACAGGATGTTGTAAAAAGCGAATACGCATACAGCCATGATGGACAGAAAATAACTAAAATCAAATAAAAGAATTTCTGAATAATAATTTAATAATAAATTTGTTACATTCTTAAAACGTGGCTGAGTTGCAATTAAATTTCTGCTTAGATAACATTACAAGCGAATGTTTTAATTTCGAACTGAAGTAACCTCCTTGCTTCAACTTGAACCTGACAGTAAGGAAGTATGTCGTGTTCCAATTTAAAAAAAACTCTTTATCTACCACGGCTGTAACAAGAAGAAAAAAGGCCCGGGAGTTTTATTTCGGGCATTATAGTCAGGTTATCCACCATGCAAACACACTATTTACGAGCAAGTGTGATGAAAAGATTTTTAATTTCGTTTGATTAGATTTCAAGCTGACAATATAAAAAAGGAATTTTGAGTACCGGTAGTTGCGTATACCGATATCCCATCTCCACAGTACTCCAAAAATGCCTGTACTTGTTAAGTTCTTAACAATATAGACAGAAAAACACAGTCATAGCTGGAAGGCGTCGCTATTGAACTGAACTTGAACGTAGGTAAAATCAAATTAGGAAACAAACTATTCTAAATAGTTTCTCCTCTGGATTATCAAATGATAATATATAATATTAAACTAATTTAAGTCGACCAGACATGCATGTGTCCATGCAAAAGTTCTAAGGCCCTTCTAACGCCGCTGACAATGTTGCTATTTTTGTTATTTTCAATTGACTACTCTACTCGACTGAAATGGGGTAAAAAAAATTCAATAAAAAGGCAAACTTGAACTATAAACAAGCGATCAAATTCAACAATATATCTATCTAGCTTGTGCTAACATGATGTTCTGAGTACCCGCAAATCGAACAGGTACATAAATACCGGCAATAGAAACAGACCTCCAAAACGTAATAAGGAGACATAAAAACACAATAATACAATTATTACATTACGTTACATGTCACCCACAAAATGTCGATAACCTATTGTTAGAATATTAGATCGCCTTTTTGTATCTCTGTTAAATTCTAACTGTATTGAGACCATTATCATCATTTATACGTCCCACTGTTGTGCACGGGTCTCCTCTCAGGCGAGGGTTTAGGCTATAGTCCGCTAAGTGAATATTCTTTGACGTGCAAATTTCATCACATGTATTCCTTTACTGAAAAGTTCAAGGTGAATTTCAAATTAAATTTCTTCGATAATAAATTCCGAGAAACTCAGAGATGCGAGCCCAAATTTGAATTCACGACTCTGCTTGAAACTGCACGGCAACCACGTCACAAGCTGTTGAGACCAGCTGGTTCACATTTCATTCTGGACATTAAGCTGACTTTCGAGTTAAAACATAAAGCTCAGCTTAGCAGCCTATTCTTTATAAATGTACTCCAATTTTGAATATCAAGAAGATTGCAAATCTACATTGTTGTTTAGTGGGTGAACTAACAATGTGACTAACAATATGTTATGTAAGAACGTAATATCAATTTTTTCAAAAACATAATTGCTAAGTACAATATTGTATTCAATAACACTAAAAAAAGAACTGATATTTACATCAGATAAACATTACAGGCATCAAATAAAGGAAATAACGAACTAAATATGTTTACTATAAAAGATAAAGAAGAAAAAGATCTTTAATTCTCGACGAAGGTAGAAATTTATATGGAGAACCGTACTCTAGAGCATCGTGCTCAGGATGCTAGCAATATATTCCCTTCGGATAGCAAGTTTATTATTTGACGTAATAACTGCCAGTCTTCTAGTTACCAGAGGTTTTAACACAGCGAACTCCTTAACAAGGAGTTTCTCCAGTGGCACCTAGTTATATCATACAGTTTCCACAGCAAAAAGCTTTGCCATGACTATAGCAATGGGTCGTATTAGGTACTACTCAGGAAATTAACACATAAACCTAAATGGAAACAAATGTTACAAAATTTTATATAGCGGGCAGCAAACGGGTAAACGCCTTACCTTATCTAAGTACACAACAGTTTTATTTGTTATAAAAAAGAAGTAGTAAAAAATATAAACACAAACCTTTTATCAGTGCTCCTGCGGCAAAATAGAGGGGTCGATAATAGTATCACTGCTATTTATTTTTTATCGTGCGAATGATTTCGAACGAACCTAAGCACGCTGCCTATCGCTGTCTCTTTTACATTCGCACCAAACCGAAGCGAGCAAGTACTGGAAGGTTTAAGCGATTATCGATTTTTAGTACCTATTTTTCCCGCACTTCGCCTAACAACTTCGAATATTCCCTAGAAAATATTCTGAACTAACACGATTTCAACCAAAATGCCACTACTTTGACCCATTGCGATTTTGTAAAATCGATAATTGTGTAGTTATTTCGTAACTCACTGATCACTAGCACTGTTGTAATTTTTTATTGATTGTCCTCTGTTTTTCATGAACCACAACCTCAATTCAGTATAAGAATAAATTTTTTGTCAATAAAAATCAAGTTTCAGTTAAAAAGAGCACTGTATAGCAGTCACAGAGGCACAGCTGTTACGTACAGCGAACTCCCACTCATAGTGCCATGGAAGTGGGATGAAAATTCAAGATGGCGGAGGGGTGCGCGCGCATCGAGCCAACGCATCCTGTCAAACACACCTTACAACAAATTTACTTTTAAAGTTGACAAATCGTTTTATACATATCCCATTATTTTTATCTATTATTACGATTCAACTATTATTGAATTTAAAATACCAAAGTATAATATACAACACAACGATGTAATTTTATAAACACCTACAGATGAAATATTACACAAATCGTTCAATAAGTTGCTGGATAAGTGTGGCATTGACGTTTATATACTTACACTTGTGTATTTGATATAGAAAATCGTAAGTGTGTGTAAAATCCACGGGTTGGTGCTATTTTTGGAATCAGGCATCTTCTCTGCTATTAGATTTATCTACGCACTTATCTTCGCAAAACGAAGGGTTCCTTATGCAATTTCATTACTGAATATAATATTCAGTCTACTAAATAAGTTTGAAAGCTAAATTGCAGAGATATGTCCTTATTTTTATTTGTATTATAAATAATATCATTTAATTTGCCATATAAAACAACTTTTTTTATTACAAAGACCATGACCTAAGAAAAGACAGAACAGGTATGATTCACTGTTTCAGCAACCAACAGCATTTCGTAATTTCGATATATGCACTCCCATTAATCAAAATAATCAAATTCTATTGGTTGGTTAAAACACAACACTTCATTGCTATAGTTTGGTATACCTAATTAAATGGAATTAATTCATTCATTCATCAGGTATCAACAATATAAAAAGCAACATGTAGAAGCATATTTATTGTCCCAACCAATAATTAAGTAAGGAAATGTATTTAAAAATTTAATAATCGGTATTTCCGTTTGGTTTTTAACAATTCTTAACAATTAAGATAAAAAATTATTCTAAATGATCAGGAACTTTTTGGTCGACATTACATTTGCGCAATGTGTGTTATTTTCACGTCAAATAATAAGAAAAAAAAATTATGACTAGATATACGCAATGTAAGTATGTAATATTATGAAATGTAATATTTCTTTATAATAATATCCATTCACTTTTTATTTGAAAATCGAATTATCGAAAATATACTCCATTTTTTTTTACGTACATTTTCAAATATTTTATTCAATCATTCCACTGGAATTCACGAAAATCGATTTAAAAAAATGTTATGTTCAAAACAATTCAATACAAGTTCTGTAGGCCACGGGTAGGGCCTAGAAGCCTTGACCCCCGCTTGACCCATTTACACAGCCTCCATTTGTCATGCGCCCTTGTAAATCCAGACATACTATGTAAAAGGTCTGATATTATGATTTTGTGTGATTGGATGTATCTCTGAATATGTTAAAGATGTATATTTGTCTTTACTATAGGCTACATAAGTCATACTTTTGTGCATGGGTCTCTTCTAACTGGGTTTAAGTCATAGTCCACCATACTGGCCCAATGCGGGAAACGGCACACATCTTTGAAAAAATTTGTTATTCTTTCTTTATATTTACGATGTTTATGTTATCATTATTCCATAAATAAATATAAAAGTTTATAGCTGGAGATTTCTTATAATATCATTATAATGAAATATCATTTTTAATATTTGACCACTGTATTAAAACAGTTTGCAAAAAAAAGAGTACGTCGTATGATTGTCTTAATTTAAAAAATTAATGAAGGTTACATATTTTTAAAAATCGAAGTAACGTACTGGCAGTAAAGTGCCTATTACGAATTTTCTCCTTTGTAAAACGTGACTCGTTAGTGATAAAATCCAGTCTATTACTGGCTGGGTACTAATAACAGCAAGGACCAAGTCGTGTAAATCAAGTTTATTTTGTGGTATTAAAATTCAGAGCACGTTTTTGTAGAAGCCATCTATCGGGGAACAATAGTATCAAATAGCGCTTGCTGAAACGATTTGGTGCGAACTTTATACCCTTCACAATTCTGTGAACTTTGAAACAAAGAGTTTTCGGTAGATGGCGCGTTTTTAAGATTTTTTTCAGGGGCTGTGTATTTTTCAAATTTTTCAGTCCACTATCGCCCAGGCAGATCCTTTTGTTCTTTGCACAGACCCTTAACTTCAATATGACCATCAAACATTTTAATTCATTTTGTGCTATAAACTCATTGACCTACCAGCAAAATATACGTAAGCATTGAACAAACATCTCGTCTGACGGATTGAAGTTTTCATTACAATAACTTTCACAAGAGTACACAAAAACTTAACTTTTACTTTCAACTGCTTTCTAAATATTGCTTACAAGTCAGAGTTTTGTTCGTTGATGTAAAAAATGTATGAACATGACACAATATTATATAATTGGTTAGTAGGCTCCGGGGTAGTGGCAACAGCATTCTGAGAGTTGTTGCAAACGACCACAGAGCGCCTGTACTGAGGCATCTCGTACGGACGGAGATGCCTCGTAAGTACATGACATTTTAGTTTTTAAGTAATTTATAATTATAATTTCATTCTAACAATAGTCCATAAGTTTGTTTCTTTATTTTTACTAACACCAATGAATCCTGTTATTTGAGAAATAAATAATTTGAATGTTGAATTTGAATTTGAATATTCGCGGTAAATTCTTTCTAAATAAAATAAGGTCAAAGTGTATATATAGATTCCAATTTTTTTTAAGATACCAAGTAATATAACCCTACCCTATTACTAAACACGACAGACGCCGAGTGTTCAAGCGGTTCAAGCCCAGTCAGATCGAATGAATTTAAAAAATATTATCAAGTGGTTCAGGTTTTCACATTTACTATATATTTATTATTTAGTAGCAGTAGTGCTCCTTGTGAAAGAATTCGTCCAGGGAAGTACTGCCACCTTACCTATTTCTGCCGCCAAGCAGTAATGTCAGCATTACTGTGTTCCAGTTTTGAAGGGTAAGGGTGCTGGTGAAATTTCACGCACATGAGACTTGTCAATTTATGTCCCAGAGTGACGGGGGCAGTGGCACTGCCCCTCAAATTTTTGCTATTTAAAGTTCTGAGTGGCAATGCAACTATTATGGACAGGCGTGTAGCTTAGTTTAGTCTTTTGATATTATAAAAATATATACTACACTATAAAATATACTTATGTAACAAATGATATGTTTGTTGAATAGAATCGCCTATCTGGAGTAAAATATCTAACACATTTCTGCCTTATATTTTAATAGCCATTACAAAAAGCCCTAGTTTGTACATTTCGGTATCTCATATGAACACTACGCCAACTTTATTTTTTTGTCATTTACTGTTATTTTTGTAAGCACCCATATTTATTTACCTACTAATATTATGCTCTCCGAATTTTGTGGAAAAAAAAACAAAAAACAAAAATCGAATTTTGAAAAAAAATGAAACACAAAACAAAACAGGTCCAAAATTTAAGTTATCGTAAGGTCCAAAAATTTTGTTGGCGTAATGTTCATTGGAGGTATCGATTTGTAATTTCGAGCTTGGTAGTGCCTATTTATTTTATGTCTAAGGTTCAAGAGTGGAGTTTTGCTTGAAAAATGTTTTTGTAAATACAGTACATTTTTCAAGTAAAAAATTTCTTCACTATTCTAATGCATAGAATTGTTAATTTTTGTTGTCTACACTTTTCTATCAAGTCGGTATAAACTAGTCTTGAACAAAAATATATCAAAAAATGTCGGTTGAAGCCCAGATAACGCTTTGTCCAATTTAAAGTATTTCAAAATATTTAACAATTTGTTCAATTTTGAAGTTTAAACCAACAGACAGAAGACACTACGGAAAAAGAAACTTAACTACTTTCAATTACTTTCGGAAATTTCAGGGATTGAATAATTATATACGCAATGGACACAGTATATTTTGTTTTAATATAATAATAATAATAATAATAATAATAATAATAATAATAATATAATAACGCACACACTCAACATAGCCCCGCACTAGGGAAACCCTGTGTCGCGGGTGCCATGGACACACACATAGACAACCACAAATTACACCCAAACTCACGAGAGAAATAAATGTAGGTCATTCAAATATTTCTCTCGGCCCGGGAATCGAACCTGGGACCTCTGCGTGGCAGTCCGGCATGGTAACCGTTCGGCCACGGAGGTAATTAAATATAAATACGTTAACAAAAAAAAAACGATTTTTCCAGTCACTTTTGTTGTGGACTGTATTATAATAGTATCTTCAAAATATACTAATTTATGTGCTACGATATTCATCAAGTATAGATTTGTTATAATATTACGTGATCAATGACACTGAGTCACTGTATTCCATTTTTAACCGACTTCAAAAAAAGGAGGAGGTTCTGAATTCGACTGTATTTTTTTTGTATGTATGTAACGCGATAACTCCGGTATTTGTGAACCGATTTTCATGATTCTTTTTTTGTTGGAAAGAGAGTACCTCCATAGTAGTCCCATTTCATTTTGAAGAAAATCATTCACCTATAAGGGTGGCTGATCACACATGAACATTCATTTTTATAAATAGCGCCTAAATTTTACTTACGGAGCAATTGTTTGAATAGTTGGTTTTGCTATTCTCCAATTCAAGGTGTTTTTCTCTCTCAATATACTTTGAGTAGTGAGAACCGATTTTTATTATCTCCTATGTCAAATCCTGTAAAGCGGCGAACTAGGCGATATTTCAATAAAACTTGGCAAATAGATGTTGTTCCACGTACTTTTGAGGTCGGTTTTTTAGTACTCTGTACTGAGATTATACTTATCTACAAACGATGTTACAAGTCAATAACCCAACCCTTCAGCAATTTATTTTCTACTTAACTCGAAGT